TAATAATAATAATACTAATTAACTTATTTGTTCAAATTCTTATATTTTTTAATTATTTTTCAAAAAATATGTGGTTTTTTTCAATGGAAATAATAGCTTTTTTCAATTTACTAATAATAATAATAATTTGTAATTATACCCTTTAAATCAATTTTATTTATTTTAATAATTATTATTATTATTATAATATTAATACTACTATTTTTTATATTAATACTTTTAATTATAGTAAAAATAATAATATTTATAACAAAACCAATACTATTTTTAATTTTAATACTTTTAATTATAATAAAAATAATAATATTTATAACATAAATAATAATATTTTATTTTATTAATAATAATAATATTAAACTCGTATAATCAAAGTTTATGCAATAATATTTTTTCAAAAATATTTTTTAACAATAATAATAATGATAATTGTTATTATATATTTTTTTAATTTTCTTCTATTCTTAATATCAATACTTTTAATTACAATAATGATAATAATTTAGAAGACAAATAATAATATTTATCATATTAATAATAATATCAAATTTGTCTGGCCAGAGTTTCTACAGTAATAAGATTTTTTTGAAAATATTATTAGCAATAATAAGAATAATAATTGTTATTATTACTTTTTTCAATTTTCTTCTCTGCAGGGTCTACCGATCCAGTCGCGCGGGTCTCTAAATCTAAAGGCTGTGAGAGCAGATCTCGGTGGTCGGTTTTGCACCCATCACGTCAATCTGCTAGCTAGGCGCTCAGGGATGCAGACCCTGCCTCGCAGGTCTATAGACCCTAGGCTTGTGGGGTTACAGACCCACTCGCCCTAGGGTTGTAATCAAGCATGTAAGTCTGCCCCCAGCACCTAGAGCTGGGCAGACCCCGCGTCAGGTGTCTACATGTTAGGGCCTCGGCCAACCCCAACTCCAGATGGTTGTAGCCTAGGGTGTGGGCAGGTGACCATGGCCTCCCAACGCCCAAGTCTGGCAGCCCAAATGTCAGGTGTCTGCTACCCCGAAGAGTGAGCCTCCAATCAAGTGTTTGGGGCTTGCGGGTTGCAGCCTTATCATGCCCCCACCAAACAGTGCAAGTCACAATGAAAGCACTTATAGATTACGGTGTCCACATTATAGTGCAATTCACAGTAAAAACACTCACAATGCACAGTAATTCCCGTTATAATAAAATACTGATCCTTTTTAATTATAGTTAATTATGCCTATAACAAGGTTTAAAACTAATAATATTAAAGATAAATTTAATAAGCTACGTGAAAATATTTGAGTTAAAAAATTAAACATTTGTCAAACTGGTCTTTTTTCTATGTTTTAGGTTATATATGAAGTTATAGTTGGAATTATGTTGTGATTCTAGTTGAGCTGAAAATTAGATATTCCAAATTTTCCATCTATATAAGGTATGCTCAGTAACTTATCCAAACAAGGAAGAACAATGTGTTTGAATTAAAGCTTGAAATCTACCAATAAAAAAGGAAAGTGGACATTAGAGGTGGTGTTGACCTCATATTTTCTAATACATAGTTTTACATTAATAAACATAATTTTCATTTTGACTATTTGATTGGTCTATTTTTTTTCCAAAAGGTTCTAAAGGCCTTCTTTTATATAGAATTAAAATCTCACAAGGGTCAGATACTACGAAGGCCTTGCAATAAAGAAAAAACCTTACAATACAAGAATTGTGTTGGCTTCCTAGTCAATTTAAAATTATTTTTTTATTTTATTTAGAATTAATTTTTATTTTTTCATAATTATTTAGAATGTTTTTACATATTTTAAATAGAGTTATATTTAGGTTTTTTTAAGAGATTGGATTATTTCAAAATAATATTTTGTGTGTTCCGATGACACTTATACTTTTGGTTCTTTATTGAAATTTTCTTGAACTTATAAAAGATCAGTTGTCATTGGGGCTTCTTTCATCCAATGATTTTAGTGTCTTTGTTTGGGTAATTATTGTTTCTGGTTTTTCTATCAATTTAATTTTAGCATTATTGGATTGTATTTTTTTTTCTTGTTTGTTGGTTCTAGGATTCTTATCTTCTAAAAAATAAACTTTTCTAAGATTTCACATGTAATTAAATCCTTGTCTCAAAAAAATTTATATATCATATGGAAAACAATTGTTTTCTGACTTTTCTTGTTTGCTGGCAAATTTTAGACCTGACTTCAAACATATTATTCTTTCTTGTATGAATGAGTTACTAGGCATACTATGTTTAGATGAAAATCTTGATATGTATTGTTTTCATCTTAACTGGACTTGTAGCTTTAGATATGGCCCAAAACATACACAATGGTCCAGATCGGCTTTTGCAACTTTTTAACCCAAACATCTTGACTTAGCCCATTAAATTTCTCTTTTATATTTTAATCTTAAACTTTGTAATAGATTCAATCGGTACCTCTAATGGATTATTTAGTGATATTCACTGATTCTCATCACTATATTTATGTTGGTTTTTTCTTAGTTTTCTAGGGTTTTTTCTTTTCTTGGCTATTGGATGAAAATCTTGAAGTGAATAGTTTTCATCTCAATTGGACTTGTAGCTTTAGATATGGCCAAAACAAATACAATGGTTTAGTCCGGCTTTTGCAACTTTTTAACCTAAACATTTTGACTTAGCTGATTAAAATTCTCTTTTATATTTTAATCTTGGTTTGTAATAGATCCAATCGGTACCTCTAATGGATTATTTAGTGATACTCGGTAATTCTCATCACTATAGTGATGTTGATTTTTCCTTATTTTTACAGGGTTTTTTTCTTTACTTGGCTATAAAATATAGGTTCAAGATTTTTTTAAACAAATAAACATTCATATCCATTACGCTAGAACATATTATTAGCCTATAGTGATGTGGTTTAAAGGGTACTAGATGTCGTTGGGCTTAAGACAATAGGTGATTATGGGTAGTCAAATGTGGATCTGCCATAACTAGATAAAGATTTGCCTCAAACAGATTATGTTGATGGCCTAACAAATACATTTATAGATTAGTGGAATCAGTCTAGGCTTAAGAAAAGGTCTAGGCATGCCAAACCAGAATAATAACTCAAAATAGAATCGTTACTCGGATCGTCATATCTTTAAATTTTAAAAATCTCACCCTAGGATCCTGGTTTTATCACTTTTGTGATTTTAATTACTTGTTATTTTTGGATTTCATACTTCTTTATTTTGTAATTTTGTTTTATTTTCTAACTGAAGTAGGTTTCCGGTATATTTAAGACTTTGTAAACCTTCTAAAATAAGAAAAAAAGAGACTTGAGGATTGTTGTTCTAGAAAATATAAAACCTAGGAACTTGGGGTTCACATGTATAACCCCTTTCACTTGTTTAAATTCTTGTATTCTTTCTTTGTTTTGTTTGTTGTTGTATTTGGTTTCAAGTTTGTTATGAGAAAAAGAAATTTGCAAAGTGTCTTGCTGTCGGATAGGTGATGATGAGGATTATTTCTAGGGTTCCAGACACAGTGCATGTACCTTCAATTTTATTTTATTTTTTACTTGATCAGTGTTTTACTTTATTATTAGATTCATTGATATATTTTTATTTTAAGTATGTAGACATGTCTTTTATTGCTTAATTCGGGTTCTTATCAAGGTATGCTAGCTTAACTTGTGGTACAAGTTATAATATGTTATACGAAAATTGAACTATTATTTGTGAATTAATGAATTTCCTTGCAGATTGTGGAACATCATAGCAACGAGGATTTTACTGTGCGAGATGAACTAACCCTTTTTTAAAAGGAATATGAATTAGAATATGTTGTTAGAAGAGTCCATGTTGATCCCATAACTATTTGTTGGGTCCTCTCTTGGTGTTCACAGGAGCTTGGTTGTGATCTGCAAGTTACTGTTTCTTTGATTTCCTTTTCCATGTTGATCACTGAGACAGATTTGTGGTTTGGACATGCTGTTGCCATAACAGATTGATTCTGACACATATGCATTCTGTTTACCATCGTCTTTTGGTCTGAGATAGAACACTTTTTGATCTCTTTTGTTGTGTTAATTATTCAACTCTAAAAAAGAAAAAAGATATCTTTTTCCGTCTTCGTTTTATAGTTTTTCTCAGTTGTTGCTTGCTTTCCTTTCGTTGTTTGTTCTTGTACTCCTGTTTATGTTTTGCATGCGTATGCTTGATTGACTTTGAACTGAAAGCATGTAAAACGCTTGAAGCTTTTATAATTTAATCAAACTGAAATTTTATCGTTGTTATAAAGGATATAGCTTTATTACTAGTCACAAACAACGTTTCACAAATTCAAGATCTATACTTTGAAGTGAAACTTTAGGGTTAGAAATGTCATGTTTGTTTTGCTTCAAATCTTTTCTGCCATAACTAAACTTCAAATTTCATACAGCAAATTGCATCATCAGTAGAATGTAAAGGATAACAGACATGAACCAAATTTAGTTTGGTGTAGCCAACCATTTTATGCTATAGGACACTAGTTTGATTCTCACGCTTCTATATACAGCAAAAAATGACATACATTCTTCCCAAATTAGTAAAAAATAATTTATTACCTCTTCAATTTTGATCTACAATCTGTCTGCCACCTATAAATAACATGTTCTTATGATGTAACAAATAAAATAATCTGATGAAAAAAAAAAACCAAATAACATGTTCTTATGATGTAACAAATGAAATAATCTGATGAAATAAAAAAAAATAAAAATAAAAAACAGAAATTACTTTCATTCCTAAAAGAATGTTGATAAGAATTATTTTTTTTCATAATTTTTGTTTTAATTTGCTGGTTGGAGCTTGTTTGGGGGGGAGCTTGTGTTTTTTTTTTTTAGGTATTTTCTGTTTGGATTTTATTATCCTTGTTCTACTAGGCTGTATTCAAGTGGTTTCTTAATTATTTCTAATTTTGACCTCTTAGTCTCCATTATATATTTCCTCCATTTTATGAGGAAAAAAACAAGAAAGAAATTTCAAGAACTATCAATTTCCTTGAAGCCATGGCCATCAGATTTCTGGCTTTGTTTCAAGTTCTTATTGTCTATTCTACTTTTCTTCACATCATTCTTCCTCCGAATTCATGCAATGCATCTAATATAGTACCCAAACTTAAGCAATGTGGATTTGATGCAATATATAATCTTGGGACTTCAATTTCAGACACAGGCAACTCAGCCATAGATAATCCTTCTATGTGGCAAGCCATGTTTCCTTATGGAAAAACCATTAACGAAGCGACTGGTAGATCCTCTGATGGACTGTTAATAATTGATTACATTGGTAAGCAAACAATCTTCTTCTTTCTCTCTGTTTTACGTAACAATTATTACTTTTGAGAGTAAGGCCGGATTCCTATGAGAATTTTGCTTCCAAATTTTGCAGCAAGATCAGCCGATCTCGCCTTAGTCGTTCCCTATAAGAATTTGAGTGCATCACATTTGTCAACAAGTCGTGCAGTGAACTTCGCGTACAGCGGCGCCACAGCCTTGTCAAAGGAAGTTCTTGCAAAAAAGAAAATCATCCTAGATTGGGCACCGCCTTCTCTCAGTGTACAACTTGGATGGTTGGATGATTATTTCAAAGGATACTGTAACAATGTCAAAGGTGGTTACTACCATATACCTCCCTCTCATCATGTAGTTATTAAACTTGTAACAGACCTTCAATCAATACACTAACTCTATATAGTAGAACTGAAAGAAAGGCCTCTAAATTTGAATCTTGTTCCTGTTATCTTACACTTTGTTACGTTTGATAGACTGCACGAAGGCTGACTCGTCACTTTTCATGATAAATTTCGGAACCAATGACTATGGTAATGCATTCAGCCAAAATCATAACATTGAAGAGATAAAGAAGAATGGCTTGGTGTCTGACGTTGTGGAGGCTATAAAACAAGCTCTTAAGGTACGTTAATATTCTTCCTTTTGTTTTAGCTAATTACCTAAAAGGTGTTGGGACAAGGAAGAAGTTGTTTTTCAAATATTTTTTATTTTAAAATATATTAAAATAATATTTTTATAGAAATTATTTTTAATATTATTATATCAAAATAATATGAAAACATCAAAAATATATTAATTTAAAATAAAAAAATAAAAAATTTAAATTTTTTCCAAAATATTCCTGAAACGCAATATCAAATATTGTTAGAACCAAGTTAATTTGTTTAAGAAAACAAAGAGCTTTTTTGTGATCATTGAAAAATCAGACATTTTGAGTTCTGAATTCTTAATTATTTTATCTTAATTTGTGGTAAATAAATTATGTTGCTTTAATTGGCTACAGAGAATCATCTCCCATGGAGCTAGAAGAGTCCTCGTCTTTGGAGTAGCCCTAGATGGGTGTAGACCAATCTCAGTAACAATGCAAGCTGCTAACAAATCTGCCACTTATGATCGATTTGGATGTGTAAAAGACAACAATGACTTCTGCAATTACCACAATGAACTTCTTCAAGAAGGCCTTAAAGAATTAAGAGAGCAACATCCTGATGTACAAATAGTATATGGTGATCTTTACAATGCAATGCAATCGATTTTGGATAACTCCCAATCTCTTGGTGCGTGCTTTTTCCCCTTCATACACAACTATATATATTAAGAGACGGTTTGATAATGCTGTTTGTTTCTTCAGATTTCAAAAGATAAAATTATTAAAAATTATTTTTTTAATTTTTAATTGTTTTAATATGTTAATCTAAAAAATAATTTTTTAAAAATAAAAAACAATCATATTAATGCATTTCTAAGCGAAAAACACTTTAAATTGCAACCACTATAATAATTTAAAACAAACTTTAAAAAAGTGTTTGAAAATATGATAGCAATTATGGTTTAAAGTATTTTTTATTTTAAAATATATTAAAATAATTTTTTTATTTTAAAAAAATATTTTTAATATCACCACATTTATTTTTAAAAAATATTTTTAATATCACCATATAAAAAAATTTAAAAATATAAAAAATAATTTTTTAAATAACACTGCCTCAAGTAATCGCCTGCATCTCTAATTAATTTTTTTTAGAACATATTTTTAAACAATAGAAATAAACATTGTCAATGTGCCTAGCCTCTAGCCTCATATGATGGGTCATACCAATTATATGTCAACTCAAAGCCTAGCTGAGGGCAGAATTCATTCAAATTCGGATTGATTTAGCTAGCCAACTTCAAGGATTTTATTTTTAAAAAAAAATTAAAATAATATTGTTTAGGGGTTATCTAAGTAACTCACGATCCAAACCTAGTAATTGTGGATATGATATGGTTCTGACATGTTTAATTACTTCTTGCAACGTGTAGGATTCAAATCATTGACAGAAGCTTGTTGTGATGTCGATGTCGAAAATAAAAAGAAAGCTGTCTTGTACAAAGACAAACTCTGCGGAGCTAAAGGTACCATAGTTTGTCCAAAGCCTGAAGAGTATGTCTTCTGGGATAACGGGCATTGTACTCAGAAGGCAAACGAGCAGATGGCCGACTGGATCATTCAAGACATCTTCCCCAAGTTTCAATGCAATGCTTGACATATATATATATATATATATATATATATATATATATAGTAAAAGTATTATTCAAGATGATTCAAGATACATGTTCTTGCATCTTGTATCTTGGTTTCCTTTCTATATAATTTGTTTATTTTCATTATTTTTATTTTTTTAATCTAATTTATTTGTTTGTTTTTTTAATAAAATAAAAAAAAATTATATTAATTAAATTGATATGAGTGTGTTTGGTATTATAATAGTTGTTATGAGTACGGTTTAAAAAACTATTTTATAAAAAATACTTTTAGTTGAGATTGGTTTAGAAAAATATATATTTGGTTAAAATTATGGTTGAAATTGAAGTTCAATAAAAATAATTTAATGTGTTTGGTTAAGAATACTTTTTAAATTGAGGTTATAAAATAACTAAAAAAGATATATATTAATATTGATAGTTTTTAATTTAAATATTATAAATTTAACTATGGCTATTATATCATGAAATAAATAATACTTTATATAAAAAAATTTATTATGTTATTAAATTATCTACAATTTCATCATGTATGAAATTCATCGGACAATGACTAATGTTTTCGTAGTTTTTTAATTGTGCAACAAAATTAGGTAAAATATCATCAGAAACAAAATTAAAATTATACTCAAATTCTGCAAATGCTACGTCATCATGTGATCTCCTTCTAATTTATTTAGTGTCATTAAATAATATTAAACACTAATTTTTAAATAAAATACAATTAAAAATTAAAAAATTAAATTTTTTTTACTGTTTATTTTTTGTGTGTACAGAGTAAATTAATTCACTCTCTATTGATGAGTAGACAATGAGAGCACAAAAATAAGACTTAGGGAAGAACTTTTTTTTTTTGTATAGAGTGAATTAATTCATTCTCCACGAATGAGTAAACAAGGAAAGCACAAAAATAAGACTAAGGGAAGAACAAAGGGAAACCAGAAGAGAAGAAAGTGGTTTTAGTAAGCCAGTCCTCCATCACTGTCATCATCATCTTCAAGTGCAACAATAGTTAGGAAGACTAGGAGAAGATCAAAAGGAAAACTATTAAGAACAACCCTCATGGTTGAACAAAAGGAAAATGGTTTCAATGGGCCAGCCCAGCTATCTCCCTCAACGCCTCCAACAGCGGCACGCTCAGGTAAGAACAACCCTCGTGGTTTTCTTATCTAGACAAAATCCACTTATACTCAAAGCACTAGTCAAGAAAGAAAGAGAAGAAAGATTTTATATTGTGTTTATAAACACAGTTGTAATAAACAGGGAATGAAAACATACAGTTTTTATTTCAATAAAACTGAGTTTTGAAAGCAGATAATGGTAGGGTTATGCATGAAAACTACAGCTTGTTTTGTAACCAAACAATATGTTGTAATTGTTAAATAAAAACATTGTTCAAATGCTGAGCCAAACAGGCAACAATATGTTGCAATTGTTAAATAAAAACATTGTCCAAATGCTGAGCCAAACAGACTCTTAACCATGAAGAGCATTACTAAACAGGAGAGGTAAAGTTACAATAAATAGGCAGAAAACATATAAAAAAGAAAAGGTTAGACAAACTAAACTATCTTTTCTATTTACTTAATAGAAGTAAACAAATCAAGCATGATATAAATTAATGGAAGAGGATTACAATTATGCAACCAAATCAGCATTTCTATTAACTTTTTGTTTTGCCAAATTATCTGACACATGGTTTTTTTATTGATATTTGCTAGATAGTTGCTTTCTCTATAAATATATGTAAAACTTATAGAATAAAATCTAAGATAAACATTAAAGACATTATCATTGAAATCACCTTATAATCACCCAGAACCTTGTGAACCTTATGACATTGCTTCCTCCTATCCAAATAATTACATTATAATAATATATTATTCAAAATAGAGTACAATTAAAGATAATAAGTACTAGTATATATGAATAATTTATGCTAGCTACATGATTTAAGATATTTTCAAAAATAATTTCATACGATTATTGCTAACCGAAGGCATCATGTGTAGGTGAAAATGAAATTAATAGTTTATAACTAGTACTTAAAATGAAATTAATGATTCATTGTTTATATAAGAGGCTTAACCAATTAGTTAGCTAATATTTTAAATTTATATATTTAAGGTAGTATACAATAATTAATATAGAGATTACAAAGCTAGATTAAGCATATCAATCTTTTCTAATTATATACATTCTATAGTGTGCAATTTTCTATAACATACCCTCTTAAACTGGAGGATAAAGGTCAACTTAAAGCTAGAAATGAAGATTAGTAAAAGAAATAATATAAAGTGGTTTAGTAAGAACATTTGCAAATTAATCCATGAAAGAAATAAAGTGAATATGAATGTCCTTCTTAGCAACTCTATCACATACAAAATGATAATCAACCTCAACATGTTTAATATAAATATGGAACTGAGAAAGATATATTTTTTTATTTTTCTATACAAATATACTTAAAGAACTTTTAGGATTTGGCCATATGTACAATAATAAAAGATTTTTTTTATTTTTATTTCTTTGAAAGAGGAAATTAATTTAAAAAAATTTTAATTTTTTTAATTTTCATATAAAAAAAATTTAATTTTTTTAATTTTCATAAAAAAAAAAAAAGAAAATTTTTGAAGAAAACCGAGTATTTTAATACCAGATCTGTATCTTACAGTATAAATATACAATATGATGTTATATAAAATTATTTGAGAAACATGCAAGGGGCTCGCAAATGTTTTTAAAATACCCTTTGAAAAAATTATTTTTTTAAATATTATTATTATTATTGGGTTGTACCTAGCCTAGCTGTCCGGGTTAGGCTAGAACAAGTCTAGCCTGACTCAGTCAGGTTGGGCTGACTGTCAACCCGGCATCCTTGTCTTTTTTCTTTTTGGGGTAGGGCTAGACTCGGCCAAGCCATCTGGGTTGAGCTAGAAAAGTCCATCCATCTGGGCTGGTCTGGAATGAGTCCAGCCCACGACCCCCATGGTTGTTGGCCCAGCCCAGCAACCATTTTAATTAATATGGGTGTTGCATGCAGAACGAGTTCTCGTTCTGCATGCAAATGGCTATAATTTTTACAGCCAAAAGGGAAAAAAGAAGATTACCTGGCATGGGGGTGGTTTGTTGGTGGTGTTGGGAAGACCAACATGTGGTTGGTGGCGGCAACGGAGGCAGAAACACGACTGTCGCACCCTTGCGAGTGCTTGACGTAGCGGTGATCCTTCCCAGAGCGGGGAATCGATATCAAGGTCTTTGTTTTGTGAATAAGAATGCCACTATCTAGTATTATGGTCATTAGAAAACTTAACTAATCTTTCAGAAATTCTAAGGCAAAAGACTAGTTGTATAAATGGAAGATTTTAGCACCCTTAGTACGCTCTGCCTAAGATAAGTTACTTGGTGTATGGTTTGCCTTATAATTGTTATGGTGTTGGTTCTCATCCTATCAATTTTTCTAGGATGAGTTTGCTATGATGAATGGATTTGAGTTAGAAGTTAAAAAAAAAAAAAAAACTTGACCAATATGGATCACATATTTAGATATGTCTATAGAGTATCAATTTGAGTTAGAAGTTAAAAAAAAAAAAAGCCCTTGACCAATATGGATCACATATTTAGATATGTCTATAGAGTATCAAGAAGAACCGATGCAAATCTCTTGAAATCTGTGTTTGATTTGAACTAAATTTACAACTTACGAATTAAGAAACACTAAGATAGAAATCTAAGGAGATTTAATGTGCTTAAAAGCTCATTTTTCTCTTAGTATTTCAAGTGTCAGAACTCATAAATCGCAAAGAAGCATAAAAATTTAGAAATCTACAGAAATTTTAAGCGTTTTAAAAGCCAATTTTTGCCTTAATGTTTCATATTTTCATAGCTCGTAAACCATTGTGTCAAAAATTAAAATGTCCTCAATTATAATCGAGACTTCTTTTAAAGATGTGTAATGACTTATTATTCCTAAAACAATATTTTGGATATTAACCACTTGGTTTTTTTTAATCCAAACATTAACAATTAATAGTAACAATTTATTCCCAATAATATTTTGGATATTAATCCCTTTAAAATTCTGTATTTTTTTTAAATATTGAAAAACACCCTTTGGAGCTTTACAAAATATGTTGTAAAATCCATAATGCAAGAAAATAATTTTTATGTTTAAGAAATCAATGTTAAATCACATTTTCTTTTAAAACTTCAAAAAAAAATTATAAAAGGAGGAATGTTAAAAAAATATGTTAAGATATAAGTCGTATGCAACACACAAGAAAATATTTTTTTTAGACATGTATCTATACATGAAAAAAAAAACCTAAAATAAATACACAAAAAAACATAGACATGTATCTATACATGAAAAAAAAACCCTAAAATAAATACACAAAATAACAAAAAAAAACCCAACAATCTTACTCGTTTTTGTTTTTTTTGCTGGGTCTAGCTCAGCCCATATGACTAGAATAACCCAATAAGCCTAGCCGAATTACTAATCCAAACCAGTGACCCGGTTAGGTACTATTGCAAGTGGCATGTGTGAATTATTCACGCCTGCAATGCAAAGTGAGGTGGTAATTAAATTTACCTTCGTACAATGCAAATCACTTAAAAAAAATGGGATAGAAGAGACACGACTTACCTGGTCTGCTAGCAATCCCTTCTCTTTTTTTTAATTCATTATAAGCTCATATGTCAAACTAAATTCTTATATGTGCTTTGATGTGGTTCACCTATTTTGGAAAGTGAAAGGTTTTTCCATAACTTGTATATTGTGGGGAAAGATACTTTCAAATGAAATTGGTGAATGCTCGAAATAATTCTATGAATTTTCTAGTTAACTTCTGATATTTATACACCAACCTACTTGTAGCTTTACAAACATTTATACCAGAATTTGACCATTAATTCTCATGAATTAAAAATTTTAGAGGTTATTGAAATATTGGCTATGTTCTCACAGATTTGATAAACTAGTTATTAAATCAAAAAA